GAATCCAATTTTTGTGAGGAGAGTAATACAATGATTAGAAAGAATCTAACCTGGGGTTCTGTGAATTTGATTGTGGGACTTGCTGCAAGTCCAGCTAAATCATGCTCCATGTACTCAAAAACAAGGTATAAACTACATGACATTCTTGATGTCACTAATCCTTCTAATTTCACAACATTTGGATGATCTAGTCTGCGTAGTATCAAAATCTCACGCGCCATGAATTTCACACTTTCAGGTTCCAAATTGTCGAATCTAACCTTCTTCAATGCAACGATTTTTCCTGTCATTGTGTCCTTGGCTTTGTAGACATTACTGTATGTACCTTGTCCAATCTAAATCATAATATCAAAGAAAAACCGATCAAAACCATGGATTTTGTAAAAAAGATTCAAAGAAAACTGATTGGAGGGTGTTCATGGTTACTTGCCTTGTCGATTTTCTCAAAGGTATCAGCTCTCCGGGGTGTCCAGCCGTTGATAGCTTCTCCGGCGACTGCAGATAGCCAAGCTGGCCAGCCGGCGGCGACTTGTTCACCATGGATGTTCTTCGGTGGGTTACTCAGTCTGGGATTAGGCTTTGAGCGTCTTCTCTCACCTCTTGGTTTCGTAGCGCCGTCTTTTTGATCCACCCCATTTTGAGCCTCCCCGCCACCGGCAGTGGCGGCGTCGGGATTTGCGGCTACTTCTGCTCTACCGGAATGAATATGTAAGCCGGTGTCTCTGTTTCGCCTCTTGTCCGCAACGATCTCAGAGCTTGCAGGTCCGGAAGACGAAATCTCTTTCGCAAATACACACCCCATTCTTCGGCACATTAAAAACCCTAACCCTCATTCCGAGTCAATTCCCTTCATACACACCTGAATAATTATGGCGGAGAGCATATTCCAACAGCAATGAATGAACTGGAATAATGGGTTTTGATTAAGATGCGGTGGTTGAAGAGATGAACCCTAGATTTCTTTTTTTCCTTTTCTTTTTTCTTTCTTGTTTGCCCAACAAAGCAAGGGCAGCAATGATTTAGAGGTATAAAGCCCACAATTTATGGCGGTCAAATATGAGGAAAAACAAAAAGTTGATGGAACTGTAGTAGCTTTAATTGCTGTTTTGTTAGCTTTTAACAATTAAGAATGGGGTGCTATTGAAGAAGATCCATCTAATCCAATCTAATCTAGGTCACAAAAGTTGTCAATTTTGGGAGCAAAAGACAGATTGTTAACTTACGGACGACTTTCTTCAAGGGTTTGGTGGATTTGCAGAGTGACAGGGAGAGCTGATCTGCTCCCTCGACCTCTTCTACTTTCTCTCTCCTTTAACTTTAACAATATCGATTACTCAATTCACAATTGTCAATTGGTATATGCGTAATATTCAACTACCACTATTCCAATTTCTACAAAATCTATATTCAATTTTCTATGTTTCATTTCTATACTTTAACATAATTCTTGACCCTTCTTGTAATGTCCTAGGTTTTAGGCCTAAAATAATGCGTTAGATAAACAATTAACGTAAAACCTAAATTTGTTGGGAATCACATAGTAAACGAGCTTTCACGTATTCAACACATTTGACTTGTTTCATTTTGAAATTTAAGGACGTAGTAAACTGCATACATTTGTCATAAAATATTATAACATTTAGGATTTAATCTATTTTATATAAATGAATGGCAATTATCACCTCTAAACTTTATTGTTGGAATGTATTAGGAGAAATGATTGATGTAGCAGGGGGAGTTATTTTTAATATTTGTTTTCATTGTTGTGTTTTTTGTACACTATGTATATGTTTACTCGTGTCTTTTTTTTACTTTTAATTTTATCATTCGTTATTTTTGTTCTTTAGTTAATAACCATTGTGTATTGTCCATGATAGTATGACATTTTATATAAAGAAGATCACCGGATTCGTGTTTTTCTTATGTCGGAGGTTATCAATGTTATCAATGGAAGTAGTTTCTTTACCTTAGAGGAGTCCATTGTCTTATATATCTTACTTCCTCTTTACTCCACTCTTATTAAACTTCTGTGTTATTATTATTGTTGTTGTTGTTAATGATGATAATCTACGGAGGGTTTTCATGAAGTGGTGCTTAAAGGTTGGGAGACGTTAATCCAATTTGTTGGGTTTTATAGAGTTTTAGAAATGATAAAGCTTTCGTGGGAAACAAATATCGTAAGGAGTTTATCTTTAATTCTATTAGAGAGTTTTCTTTTATTTGGAGTAAGAGTAGGAATCAAAAAATTCTTCTTTCTTGAGTTAACTAGTTAAAAAACCTAGTCAACGCGTAATTTTCAACTTTTTCTTGCTCTAGTGTCCTGCTAGAGTTGTTTTTTTTTCTAATGTCATGTCGCTGATTAAAAATAAATAATAAATAAATAAATAAAACTTGGTAGACGGAGTTATAGTCGGCCGATTGGTTTTCTTCTTTGCTTTTCCGGCCCATAGTACAACTCTTTAAAGATAAAGGATTATAAACATGTTTCGAACCCCGGTTGAGTTAATCACCATGTCTAGTCTATTTGAAAGTACATTGGAGATCATTATTGAAATTGATTTTTCAACCTTATACATCCTATAAGGTTGGTCGAGAAGTAATCCTAGCGAGATAGATGGTCATTTCTTTATGGAATAAGTGTGATAAAAGAGGAGTTACAACCTTTGTTTTTTTTAGGAGTTACAACCTTTGTTAATAGTACGGGAATAGTATAATTCCTCACAAAATTAGATTCCAAGATGCACCAATAAGTTTTTATAAATTTGAAAGTAACTTGGTTTGGTTTGGACACCTTTTCATTTAAGTAATTCCAAACAACTTTTTAATTTCTTCAGGAAAGAATGTAGTATGAAGAAAAAAAAAATGTAAGTGGTCGACAACGAGTTGAATCCGTTATAGTATGTAAGACTCGGTCTCAAATTGTTGGATCGGAGAATTTGTTTTTGAGAAAAAAGAGAAAGTCTCCTCTTTAATGGAAGATGGACCAGCAATCCATATCGCTGATAGAAAGTCAATTAGTTATATAGTCAGAGTTATTAAGTTTACGATCTCTTCAAAGAAACTAGACCTCTCAATCAAACACCCAAATTTAACTCTCTTTTTGTTTTAAGGACGCCTCATTTGACCGTTCCAATTCTAATAATGTTTTCCCCAACTTGATCTATTTTGTAATTTATCAATAAATGAGAAATGTCTTGATTCGAACCAACCTCTTGCAATTCACTTTAACGTAATACATTTTGTAACCAAATCTAAACAAAGAATCCAAATATGAATTTTGGTATTGTGTGACAAAGTAAGATCCAAATTTTTGTTTTTGTTAAAAAAACACCAAAATCACAAACCCAAAAAACCAAAATCGATGGAGATACCAAGTTATATAACTGTTGTAGTTGAAAATCACACAAAAAATAATGAGTAAATTATACGAATGGTCCCTATGGTTTTGGGTAACTTTCACGTTTGGTCTTTAACTTTTTTTTTTTTTTTTTTTTTAACCCGGATGGTTCTTATTTTATATTTTTGTTGCACGTTTGGTACCTATCCAACATAAAAAGTCTATTTTGCCCTTAATGATATATTTTACTCTTTTTTTTAATTATTTAATTGTTTATTTATTAAAAGATTATTTAATAAATTAGTCCACCACTCATCCTAAAAGATAATCGATACCCTTTATTAATGATCTTGACGGGCTCTCTTCCTCATATCCTCGTTGCCGTCGGCCTTTTTGCCATCTCCATTGAAATTACTTCTTTAAACAGATAGATCCTACACACAAACCTTCCACCTCTAGTTAATCTCTTCCCTCCCCTTTCAACCTATCGTCACGTTCTTTCTCCAACATCAATGGATGCCACCTATGCCACCCCTTCGGTAAGAAAGCTTAGCAACATGTTGTCTTTTAAAAACATATTACCCTAATCCAAAAAATGATTTCTTAGAGATGGGCTTTCTGAACACTCATATCCAACTCTCACCTTTGGTGAAGCCAACTTTTGGTCCTGTCATCCTCTACCTTGCCAGAAAAAACTATAGTCAGCTCACCTACCACTCTACTCTCTTCCTTCTCTATTACATACGAACAATCTAAGTAATTTGGACGGCCACTAGAATTAATTAACACGAATCCGACCACCGATCCAAACACCAAAACACTACTTAAAGCTTGTTTGATTTGATGACCTGCAAGATTGACCACTTGAAGGTTCGTTCGATCTGTAATTGTTTACTAGCTATGGAGGTTAGGATCGACTTGTAGATAGATGCTCGTTTGTTTGTATATTGATTTGCCTAGGTTTGTCTTTATTTAATCGATTTTCATATGGGACTTTATTTGGGATTTTCACATTTGGATTATATCTGTGTTTTTCGGTAGAGGGATTTGGGTGTTTTGATTTGAGTTTGAGCTACGAATTTGATTTTGGATTTGGATTTGAGTAGCAGGTTCAATTTAAATTCCATGTTCGATTTTGGATTTGAATTTGAGTTTTATATTGGATTTTTGTTTTGGATTTGTATTGCATGTTCAATTTTAGATGTATTTCAGATTTATGGTTGAATATTAGGTAGTTTGTGTTGAGTTTATGGTAGATCGGATATGTGGTTGAAGATGGTGACCGGAGCGGGTGAAGACGGTGACCGGAGATGGAGCTAGGAAACTGGGTAGTTTTGTCAATTTGGGAGAAGGAAAGAAGTTTAAGGTGGGGTGGGTTTTTCAAACAACTATTAATAATTTATTTTACTTAATAGTTGTTGAAATAAAAAAAAAAAAAAAGAATTAAGAAAATGAAAATATATCATTAAGGGCAAAATTGTCTTTTTACGTCTGGTAGGGATCCAACGTGCAACAAAAATATATAATAGGGACCATTATACTTAAAAAAATAAGTTAGGGACAAAACGCGCAATTTACTCCAAACCACAAGGACCATTAGTGTAATTTACTCAAATAATAACACATGTAAAATAAATGAAAATTGTATTAATCAAAACGTATCAACTACTACACTCGTAACATATTAGATCGACATACATCAATATTGGAAAAACAAACAAGACAAAATGATTTATAAATCGTTAACTTCGAGTAACCAACATTGAATACTTGGTCTCCTTAAAACTTCTTGTAGACATTGATAGTGGCTAACACAACGAGTAGAAGATAGCATATGGAGCCATTGAAAGACAAGATAATTGCAGCAGCAGTCTGGTGACAAAATTTATCGAACACATTACACACTTTTCCCCATTGTAGGTGTGAGTTGCCTTTGAGGCCAATAAGACCAACAGCACCCGCTGCACCCATTGCCGAGAAGAGAAGTGCCACCATTACTATATCTAAAATGGTTACAATCAAGGTTACGTTCTTCTTTCCACCCCTAGCTGCTAATGTAAGCACCAAAGACATCGTTGCATAAAAACATGCTATTGCATTTGCGATCACAAGGTACCTACCATACCAACAAAAAAATCTTATTAAATGGACTGATTATCTTGCTATTAATATTATTAGATATAAATATAAACTAGATCCATTCCAATAGCCAAGAAAACTGTCAAATCATATTTCATATGTTTTTTTTTTTATTATTATTTTAAAAGCGTGTGTGTGATTGCTTTTTATGGAATTAAAATATGTAAAGTGGGTGGGAGTCATAAGTCATGTTTGTGGGAAATTGAATTTGGAAATCTTATAAGTCAACATAATTGATGAACCAGAACAAGATAATATATATTTTGCTATCTTGAATTTAATGTATCATATATATATATATATATGTTTCTGTTTATTAATAGAAGTTATGCCGATTAAAATAATTTAATGAAAACATAAAAATTAAGATGGTTGTCGTGACCCTTAGTGTCCCATCAACTTGTCTCGTGATCTATGTAAAAACAAATATATTAAAATAAAAGTTAAAGATATATGTTTCAAATCAATTTACTAACACCAAATCTTGAACTAATATGTTTAAATATTTATTTAGATACGAGGTTGATCGAAGAATATTGATAATATCTTGTTTAAGCCAAAGATTTAAAGAGTAATAAGAATATTTCGTTTAATTTTATTCTAATTGATTTTTTCATACACGCATCCTAGTCATATTTATTGATCTGGCAGACAAATTTTAAATCACACTATTTCTACAATTATGAGTTTATTCTGTACACTGTTGTTGAAAATTTCAGTTAGATAATTTAATTAATGATAAAAAAAAAAAAAAAAACGAAATGACATATTATACATAACTACGAGAATACAAATATATGATTAATATTAATAAATATTTGAATATACAAATATATTTGTTTTAAATCATTAATTATAATCGTTTTACTTTACCCGCGTAAACCATGAACATGAAAGCTAGGAGAGAATGAATACATACACAAAGGCAGACATGTAAAGCCACTTAGCGGTGACCGGCAAGTTGACCGGCGGCAGGGAGGGGACGATCTTTACGGATACGGTTGTTGACTGGCTATTCACTCCGAGAACGACGGCTGCCGCCAGAGTTAGCACCAATGCTAAAAATCTCACAAACAAATCACTTCGCTTCACCTTCCCTTTTCCTACAGATCTTATACCCACCTCATCGTTGATCTCCTCCTTGTACTGCATATCCATATCTGTAAAAATTGGAGTTATGACGGATGAATTGATAAGAGTGGAAGTGAAGAACTGAGTAACTGGAGGTCCAGTGACACATGCATTTATAGGGATACGGGCCTCATCCCATGACAAAATACAAGTCCTTTCTATATCCGTTTGTCTAAAATAAAGAGTGTGTGTATGTGTGTGTTGGAGGGGGGCTAGAGACATATACCAGTATAGAACTTTTATGAAAATAGGTGATATAATCATTCTTGATTTTGATTTTTGTGCTTGTCATTCAGACGACCATCTCCCTCTTTTAATATTCTAGAAATGTGTGAACTTTTTTTTTTTCTTTTATATTCCACATTCGTCTTAATTTGTGATGGAAGCACGTACAACAAACTTGAATTAATAGAAATTATTTTCGAAAATAATTAGTAGTTCATAACTAAAAATGTAAGGATTAATAAAATTTTGTTTGTATAAGTGATGTGAGATGTAATATTTGTAAATCTATAGTGCTTTTTTACTATTTTGACTTTGTTGTCGTCATAAAAAAGCTAAGCTTGAAGAATCTGTTTAAGAGAACAACCCTAAAATGATACAACTTAAAATAATTTTTAGTAGGGGTATTCTAACTTAACGAACTCTTTGAGTTCTTACTCAAATGTGTCCATTTTTTTTAATAACCAATAAACTAATCTCCTCCTAAATATCATCTATATCTCCTAATAAGACTTGAACTTATAACTTTTTATTTGAGAATGTCACTCTTTACCACTAAGCCAAACACCTTTTGATCATATTGCTTTTTTACATATATTCTAAGATACTAAACTTGTTGGTGACCTGTTAAGGCTAAATGTTATGTATATTACGGTAATGGTCATGGTTTCCTTCCACCTTAACTTCCATCTGTTTCCACCTCACCATCATCTTCTTCTACACCAAAACTCGTATACATATCTCAAGGCCATGAGAAGTTTGTAGGAAAAGAAAGGAAGAAATAAAGAATAGAAGAATGTTTCCTTTCACCTTAACTTCCATCTCTTTCCACCTCATTGTCATCTTCTTCCACACCAACAATAAAGGGTATATATATCACGAGGCCACGAGAAGTTTGTAGGAAAAAGAAAAGAAAATATAAAGAATAGAAGAAAGATCATTGGGTGTGCCCTCTCGTGCTAAGTACCCTGAAACACAATGGCCGTGACACCAGAGATGGTGGCCACTTGACCATAAACCAACCTCATGATACCTATATCTTGCGGTCTAATTATACAAATATTATTTTTTTTTACTAGCTTTAACATGTAAGCATAGCTCCACGTCATCATCCACAAGGCTCTGTAAATTATTTCGGACTTTTTAAAATTTAAAACAAAATGATTTCACATTTTAATTTAATATGTCATTTGAAAAATAATTAATAGGGTTTTATTTAAATATATTTAATTTAGGTTCATGATCGAGCAAAATAAAGAGACGATTGGTGTTTTTGTGTGCACGATCATGAGCGAGCAAAACAAAGAAACCACATGTATGTATGTGTATGTGATATGTATCGAGAATAATAGGTAAAGAACAAGAAATATATATATATATATATATATATATATATATATATATATATATATATATATATATATATATTACTAGTTGTATATTCTTATAGCTCAGTTGATAAAGCATGTAAAATATGTGATGGGTAACTCATCAAATCGTGTTTGAATCTTGAGACTAGTACAAAAATGACATATAGTCACATTTTTAGAAAAACAACATATCACACTTTTTATTAAAAACTCACTAAAACAAACTTAGAGACTGTTTTTCGATACATTTAAATTAGTTTGTGTTCATTGTATAAATAATCAAAACTTTAACCATACTTAATTATACCAAATGTGATAATTATTAGCAACGCTCGAAGACTGTGGCCATATTTAACTATCAGCCACATTTATAGATTAACATTATGATACTTTTTATATAAGAGACAATACATAGATATCTTGTGACATGAGGTAATCGTACATGTTTCTGTATCATGGTGCTATTTAGACACAAGAAATCCAATGTAGCTAACAGGTGATACATATGACCATAGTAAATATTTATATGACCATAGGGTGGCGTTTATTAGTGATTAAGTAAAAGCAAGAAACCAAGTTAATTTTAGTGGTTTATGGTTATGTGCCTTTTATTATGTGTGTAAAATATGATGAACTGACTTTGAAAAAAACAAATATTATGAGTGTAAGTTGCATTTGGTTATGTTTACAATTATTATGTATGTCTATAAGTAAATCTAGTTAGAAAAGATATAATATCTAATCAATATAATTATAGTATGGTCATTGAATGTGTGACTATAATTATGTAATGGTTATTCGTTTTGTATTAGTTTGTGTATAAATTTAAAGAATATTCTTCATAAAAATACCCTTTATTGATTAGTCAACAGATACATTCCACATGCTAGCAAAACACAGGGTAAAGGATACTTAGTGAATCCTAGATGCAACCCATGCAAGACCAAGAGCATCATACATACACATATATATAAGTCTAACATAAATCTAGCCTAACATAAGGCATGATTAGATAAAGAAAATAGAAAAACAACCAAAGCCAAACTATTATCTGTTCATAAAGACTTCAAACCACAACAAAGGCCTTAGGGGCCACAAGGCAACCAAAAAACAGCATGATACAAAAAAAAAAAAAGAAGGAAACATCAGTAACAATCTTTTACACCCTGAAAAGGACAACTCTAAACAACTCTACCGCCACTCCCACCAGCACCATCACTGCCACTCCCACCAGCACCATTACCGCCACCCTCACTAGCACCATCACTGCCACTCCCACCAGCACCATCACCGCCACCCTCATAAACGTCATCACCGCCACCCCCACCGACACCATCACCACTCGCCCCTGCACCCAACTCACCCACACCTTCCTCACCATCATTAAATGTACATAATTCCCTCACCCCATCAACGTCCAAACAACCTAATCCAAGTAAACCAGCGAAATCCATAGTTGCGAAATCCAGTAAAGCGCCATCTAAGGCTGAAGAATGACTAGACCGAGAGTCGCTAGCCGAAGGATCGTATGTCCCAACATCAACCTGGTCTTTCAAATTCGCCCAACCCGACTCCTCGCCAGCAACAAAAGCAGCATGACGAATGCAGCTAATGCCACCAGTGAAATCAGGGTGCTCAAGGAGTTTGTCCATCACACGTACAAGACCCACCTGGAGGAGCCAACTACGATCCGCCCTAAACCTCTAGCTCCCGCTTGCGATCGACAACGTCTCGCTCCAAGCACTCGTTCTGAATCATTAAACCTTCATTTTCCTGGGTCAAAGACTCCACTTAACCCTCCAAAACACCACGCACATCCTCCAACACCAACTTCCCCGAAACTAAAGACCTGTTCTCACCCTCCAGCCGAACAACCATAACACTCAAATCCGCCACCCTACTCCTCAAGCTAGCTTCACTCTCAACCAAAGAAGAATGCACATGTTCCAAATCGTCAAACCGTTGCACACGACGGGACCTGGCGGCTAAATATGTCATAGCCTGCGCAGTGGCGTATGCAAGGTTGTGGGCCAAAACGCCATTGCTCATGGAATCCATGTCATCCAGGGTGGCTGGAGGGAGAGCATGGTGGGTAAAATCTAAAGCAGCGGAGCGCACAGACAAATGAGAATCGGGTCGCAAATTCCATCCCGGGATAAACACAGGAAACAACCGCTCTTGACTACTTTTTGGAGACGGAGGATAAACACTAACACTCACAGACATCAAAACAAGGGGCTGGTGAGACGCGCTCTTAATACCCTCAGATTGTTCAACATCATCATCGGGTATCACCAAAACATCCCTTGGATCGGAGGGAGGAAAAGTTAATAAGCGCATAAGACCGTGACGCTGCATCACTCGCCGCCTAATGGGTCCTGAACCACCCTCAGGCGCTGGTCTGCTCATTGCCTGCACGACTTTCCTCTTCCCGACAATCTGTCGGGCGCTGGTTACTATCCCAACCTTGCTATCCACCACGTCATAAGCGGCCGACCCAGTAGGACCAGGAGATGCAGTCACATGAGTAACAACAGTGTGCAAACCCGGGCGACTCTCTGATGCGGTCGAACTACCCATGGGTTAAGGAGAGACTGAGATAATAATATATAAGCAACGGGGGGGGAGGGGGGAGGCAAAGTCTTATATACAGAGGCACTGCACGGTGCTCCAGCTTCCCCTGGTAATGACTCCGTAGTACAGAATCCATATAGACATAGCATTTGACACCTGTTAAGAAAAACATATATGAAAAGAAAAAAAAAGGAGGGGGGGGGGGGGGGAAGGAGAAAGGGAGAAGGAAAAAGAAAGAAGAAAAGTAAGAATAACTTACCCTTCAAGATGGTGTAGAACATAGGCATCTCCCCTCGGGAGCGCCAACTAGGGCTCATTCTGACACCAGCAAGAATCACCTTCGACATTGCATCAACATCCACCTGAAGAGAACACAGTAGATCTGCAGTCTCCTGGTTATGAGGGAAAAGCTTAGGAATAGTGTCTGAAGGCATCGTCGCCCGGGGATGCTCACCACCAAGCAACTCCTGGTTAACCTAGAACCACCGATCTTGCCAATTCTTGGGAGGCTTACTGTCAATAACAAGATTATCCCCCCCCCCCTCGAAGAGCGGAGAAAGTATACTTGTCAGTAGTGGCAGCAAACCGGAAGAAGTACTTGAAGACGGAGTAATCGGGCATGATACCGTTATCACGACATATCATTTCGAAAGCTACCACCTTGTGAACAGCGCCAGGAGTCAGCATTTGCATGCTACACCCACAGTGGCAGAGTATCTCCTCCTGAAAGTCGGTCAACGGGAGACAAAGACCGGTGTCGAAAGTCTTCAAGTAAACACCCACCTTCCTAGGAGGAGGTCGAGTAATCAAAGAGCCAGAAATAAGAAATTCCACCCCATCAGCCGGAGTAAGACCATATGCCTCTTGAAGTGTAACGAACTAAGAAGAACTAGGGGTTGAACCTTGAGCGATAACCATGGCGGAAAACAGAGAGAAAAAAGAAAGAGGAGGGCGAAAAGGCAGAGTGAGAAATGAAAGGGGAACCTATTTGAAGATCAATAAAAGGAAAAAAAGGCAGGGTCTGCGAAAATCTCTGACACATGACGTAACCGCCGTGCGCACGTCAAAACGTCACATCGCCGGAAATGAAGTGACAACCGAGTGGAACAACGACACGTGCACCAATAGTTAAGTCTAGAACATCATAGCTAGGTAGCGGGGGACTTGATGACGCGTCCCTTAGAGTGGGCCCGAGGCAGGTGAGCCTCGATAAGGCGCCTCTGGTGGGGAGCTGACTCAGCAATCCCAGACTCCCGCGAGG